GTTTTTCTTCAGTACCCATTTAAGCCGTCTCCAGCCATTATTAGTCTCAAAGTGGGTTCCTCGTCATCGAATTTGAAGACTAAAGCATTATCTGTCAGACTAAAATATCTGACAGACTAAAGGAATATTTGTCAGACTAAAGTATTATCTGTCAAACTGAAATCTTATCTGACATACTAAAGGAATATTTGTCAGACTAAATTAGTATCTGTCAAACTAAAATCTTATCTGACAGACTAAGGGAATATTTGTCAGACTAAAGTATTATCTGTCAAACTAAAATATTATCTGACAGACTAAAGGAATATTTGTCAGACTAAAGTATTATTTGTCAAACTAAAATATTATCTGACAGACTAAAGGAATATTTGTCAGACTAAAGTATTATTTGTCAAACTAAAATATTATCTGACAGACTAAAATATTATTTGTCAAACTAGAAGATTATCTGACAGACTAAAAGGATAATATGCCAAACTTAACAATCATGTGTCAGCCTGAAGTATAATTTAAATGGCATATACGACAAAACACTAACGGTAACTTTGAATGTCCTGACTAAAAACTACAACTCTCGAAATTATTCATCATCTGTCTGACATAAAAAAAGAAGAAAAAGAAGAACAGAATATTGATTATCCTGAAGCTCGAGCCTAAACTATTACTCGGTATAAACCAGTTTTCTTCATATGATTTCTTATTTTTTCCAAAACCTGTTATTATTGTTTTCATTTGTTTACTATATGGAATGATTTGGCATCACAATGACCTATTTAGGATGGTTAAAAGTCTTATTTGCTAAAGTTGAAATAACGTTTTCTCGCTGTCTCAGTTGTAATTCATTCATCGAATATATTGAGCTACTTTTATTTTAACCACCTAAGCAGAACATACTTTCCAATAGCTTGGGGAATTGCAAATAATTGATTGACTCAGATTTTTTTTTACCATTAGTTAGTTTTTTTATCTATCAGTGCCATTAAGGCTTTTGGTGACATTCAGGCCATGTTAATGCCCCTCAGTGGTAAAAACCGGGTTTCGATACCCGTCGCGGTACAGCACAGATATCTCATTGTACAACTTTGTGCTCAACAACAAACAAACAAAAAAGCCTTTTTTCAAAAATATTATCATTGTTTACGTATTTTTTTGTCCGTACATCCTACTATTACGTTATTAACCTCGTTAAGCCTCGTGATATTCGATTGGTAAAACGACGTTCAAATACATGGAGTTACTTTAATGAGACACTCAACTCTGGGGTCAAATAAGACTAATTTGTTATGTTGTGACCCTCCATCTGTAATTTATCTACAGTTATGGATGTGATACTATAATATTGCTTTTATAATAAAGCAGTTTTATCTCTCACATGTGCCAATATCCGATGACAAATGTTAAATATATACGCCATTGTGTTTTATTTCCAGTGACTAGTGTATCTCTCTGGTTTGTAAATTATTACTCAACAGTGTGTCTTAAACGAAACATCTGAAAGAAAAATGTGTTTAGTATTCTGTGTCATATCTTATAGAAATTATCATGAAAAAACAACACTTCACGCGGATGTTTTCTCGTGACTGCAATTATTTTCCTCTTTATCACTGTCATTAAGTATATATAATGTATTATTGATCTTGAATAATTACTTTCGAGTGAAAACAGTTGTTAATATTTTACTTTTTTATTCGCACCAGATCGTGTGCAAGATGCTGCTGATCTTGAAGAATTACTTTCGAGTGAAAACAATTGTTAATATATTACTTTTTATTCACACCAGATCATCTTCAAGATGCTGCTGATCTTGAAAAATTACTTTCGAGTGAAAAGAATTGCTAATATTTTACATTTTTATTCACCACAGATCGTGTGCAAGGTGCTGCTGATCTTGAAGAATTACATTCGAGTGAAAACAATTGTTAATATTTTTTTCTTTTTTTTTGACACCAGGCTGTATGCAAGATGCTTCTGATCCTGAAGAACTACTTTCGTATGACAACGTACATGTGGATGTTATGTGAGGGGTTCTACCTGCATAAGCTGATAGCAGCAGCCTTTGCTGAACAGAAAAATCTTCTAATGTTTTACATTATTGGTTGGAGTAAGACTATTGTCAACCTGTTTGATTTTTGTCTATACACTAATGTGTTTGTAGATCTTTATGTCTAGCTAGATACTCTACCACACAAGTACAGTAGCAATGTGTATATAAAATGTATTTAAATGCGAGATTGAACTTCAGGTATCTATGAAAATTTACCTACATAAGGTCAAAGTCTGAACTAACCACTGGCCAGAATTGTAAGTCACTGGCTGTAATATAATTCTAGTATTATACTTAAGTTAACCAACTGTTAGCTCGTCGAATGAAAAATGTTTGAATAACAACTACGGTTTTGTTAAACGTATCATAACTCGTTACAATGTTGAAAAAAATTGTCATATCCCCCTTTTCAAAAGCAAAAAAACAAACAATTCATTACTGAGACATTTAAAAATATTCTGTAATAACATTTTCAGCACAAGCATTATATTAAACATTTCATAACCAACTGGTTATGTGTAGGCCACAGTTTGCTAGTCTTAAGACAACTGTGCTTATCCAAAGAGGGCGCTTTAGCAGAAAAGAAATTAAACTCGTTAAATTCGTTGACTCGCCTTAACAATAAACACACATATGGGTTTTGTTACGTAATTTTTGCATCTATTCAACAACATGTGATCATGGTTTAATTACTTTTTGGTTAAGTTGATGTGGCTTCAACGATTTTATAAGTCTTTACCAATGGGCCCATTTTAGTTTTTTCTTTTTTTGGTTTAATTGTAGATATCACCCGAAATTGGATTTCACCTATCAGTGATAAGGCTTAGCAAACAGTCGGATATATTGTAGTTTTTTTCCATTAATCCATCATCTTGATTTAATATCTACACATGTTAGTTGACTAGTTATGAATTAAACAGAAAGGCAGTGTTAATTGTTTTTTATTATGACTTTCCAACTTGTCACATTAAATGCTACTCGTAAATCATTGGTAAATTTATACAAACTTAACGCTTTTAAATCCTCGTTAACTTTTTATTGGAACAAATATTTCACGGCATTAACAAATCCATATATCAGAAAATAAGAAAAATAAAGCAAGGTACAGATTGCGTAAGAAATTAAGCGTAATATTTTTTCGAAAAAAAAATATACGTTTAAATAAGATATGGTTTTATTTTTCAGGTTTGTTATTGCTTACTTTTTTTCTTAAGTTATCTTCTCTTACAGTATTTCCGTTACTACCGATCAGCATCTACGGGATCATACGGAAGATCTTGGCTGATGATAAGTATGTTTAGAGAAGATAAAACAGTATCTAGATAAAAATTTGGATTACTTTATTTTAAAGTATATATGAAATCATAGATATTATGATGTATGTATGTAGAAATTAATATTTTAAATTGTAGTTAACATTTACTGTAAACAGTAGGGGAGAAGCTGGTTAAAGGGAAACGTATCTACTATTTAATATGGGGAAATAATTAACAGAAAATGAAAAAATAAAAAATAACGATATTTTACTTTAAATATCTAAAGAAATGTTCGTGTATTCTGAGCATCAAGATTATTTTTATTGTGATGTCTTTCATCGGACTCGTTTAAGATATAGTTGGCAGATGTTGTTAAGATTTTAATATCTAGACATTTTGGGATTAAGACGTATCGTGGCTCATTTATCTACTTTACACGTGCTCTGGACAGACCTTGTGATCCTTTTTTTATCCTGCACGTTGCCAACGCTGTGACCTGGACAAACAAGTGTTTGTTTATTCCCCTAAAACTAGTTGACCATGTCATTATTTAATTTTACTAGTGCATATTGGTGTATAGAAGACACTATAATATTCGAAATAAACGACCTTTTAACACCAAATAGTTAGTTTTTTAGTTGGACACTCAAAGTTTGCTTTACAGCTTCTTCAGGTTTGTGTGTTCAGTAGAACACTCCTGAAGAAGCTGTAAAGCGAAACGTTGAGTGTCCAATTAAAGAAAAACAAAATTTGGTGTTATAAGGTCATTTATTTCTAGTATTATAACTGACTATGCCATTTGTAACCTTTATCATACAATTTCGTCTAGTCTATTGTTTGTGCTTTATATACTCCCAGCAATTTACCTTGTAATCTGATGAAATATGTGCTTCACTTTCTCTTTCTACTTGTTTTTTTTAGACTATTTAATCTGAGAAAATCAGATTGCCTTCTATCCGATGGTATGTTGACTTAAAAGAAGTCTTGATGTTTGTCTTTTATACATCTTCCATTTTGCCTTGTGATGGCCTAACTAATCTTGATGCTTGTATTATATATGTCCCTATTCTGCCATATGATGGCCTAATTAATCTTGATGCTTGTATTATATACGTCCCTATTCTGCCATATGATGGCCTAATTAATCTTGATGCTTGTATTATATATGTCCCTATTCTGCCATATGATGGCCTAATTAATCTTGATGCTTGTATTATATACGTCTCTGTTCTGCCATAAGATGGCCTACATAGTATTGACGCTTGTATTTTATACGCCCCTACAATACCATGTGATGGCGTAATTAATCTTGATGTTTGTCTTTTATACATCTTCCATTTTGCCCTGTGATGGCCTAACTAATCTTGATGCTTGTATTATAT